TATCATGTCTGCATCTTGTACTATGAATAACAACTACGAAGACAACAATATGTAATGTACTAGTTATTGTAACTATCTTACTATCCTGTTTTGAAACTATCTCATTACTATTTCTCAATGAAATTAATAAAAAAAAAGACACACAAAAAAGGATTTTTTGATGCTTTCCAATTCTTTTTTCCTTTGATACATGTGTTTTTTTACTCTTATGTTTTTGAAGCCACTTTCAAATCCAAGATCATGAAGATCTGTTCTTATCTTTTTAAAAAAAATTAACTCATTAACTTTATTGAAAATCAATAATTATATAGCAAATTAAAAATTGTAGACAAATACTGAAATGTGAAAGATATAAGATGCAGACAGAGTGAATTTTAGAAAAATATTTCTGAAATGAATTTTATCCTTTCTTCTAAGAATTCCTTAGGAAGACTGCAAGGAAAACTGGTCTGGAGTTTTCTTGTGATGTCTTATCTAGCTTTGTGATCAGATTGATGCTGGCCTCATAATGAGGCAGAAAGGAATCCCTCCGTTTCTGTTTCTTCTGTTCTTGTTTGAGAAAGACTAGTGTTAACTCTTTACTTACTTGTTACAGGGTCTCCCTATGCAGCGCCACGGTGCCCGCGGCTGGCACAGCATGATGTAACAGGAACTGAACTTGGGTCCTTGTGCTTACCGGGCGGGTACTTAGACCACTGAGCTACTATCCCAGCCCTTTTGGTGTTAATTCTTTAAATGTATGGTTGAATGATTTTATGCTAGGTTTTTCTTTTGGCTGGGAATTTTTTAATTATAGATTCAAATTCTTGCCTTGACTAGTCATAAGTCTATTCAGATGTCAGTCACTATATTTCTGGGAATTTTTCCATTTTATTTGGTTTATCCAACTTGCTCGTATGTTAACAGTTTAAAGTATCATTCCAGAATCCTTTTCATTTCTATAAGGCTGGTAGTTAATATAGCTTATATCTAGATGACCCCCAAAGCCTCATGCACTCAGGGGTGGGCTTCTCAGAGCTGGCTGGGGTGAATGGCAGTGAGGTTAAGGGGCAAAGGGTGTGTGGCACTGTCTGGAATTAGCACAGTTCTGGGCGTGGCTGAAGGATTCAATGAAGACAGAAGCCCCACCCCGGGTATAGGTGGCACCACTCAAAAATCTTGTACCCTGCATGGAAAAGGGGGAAATGAAGATGGAAGGTGCAGAGGGCTCACCGTGTTGCTTCAGTGGGGCTCAAGTCTTCAGCTTCACCTTCGACGTCATCCCCTGGCTTCCAGCGCAGCCTCCTCAGCCTCCAGCACACAGCTTGCAGCCTTCTGATGTGGACACCTGGGTCTCCTGATAGGGACTGTCATGAGACTCCGAGGCGAGCTCCAGGCCTTTCACCTTTGACTGGACCCTTTCGATCTCCAGCACACCGATGACCTTTCGCCTTCTTCCACACTTGATTCTACAGGTGGCTACTATGAGTCTACATCGTAAATCTTTACATATTTGTGTTATTTGCATTACTCTTTCTCTAGTGGGCAATGACTGGTAACAGCAGTGATGCCCTTACTTCTGATTTTGCTAGGTGGAGCATGTTATCCTTTTCCTGTGTAAGCTAACAGTCTGTCAATTTTGTGGAGCTTTTCTAAGAACAAAGCTATTTTTATTGTGTTTATCTCTTCTCTGATCTTTACTTTCTTTGATAGTTTTGGGTTTTACTTGCTATTTTTTTTCCCTTAGTTCCTTAAGTTAAAAATTTGGAAACTGATTTGAGACCTTTTTTACACAAGTTACGGGTGTTCAGATATAAATTTCTTTCAGAGCAACGTTTTTGCTGCTTCTTTTCAGTTACGTATACCCTATTTGTTCTTATTCATCACAGGATATTTTCTAACTTCCCTCATGATTTATTCTTTCACTTATTGGATAAGAGGAAAATAGCTAATTTCTATTAATTTGTAGCGTTTGCAATATTTCTTGATTTCTGGTCTTATTCCATTGTAGTCCAGAAAGATACTTTGCATGATTTCAATTTTTCTAAATCTATTGGTTATTTGTTTTGAGGATTAACAAGTGGTTTACTCTAGAGAAAATTCCACATTCCCTTGAGATGACTATATCGTGCTGATACTGGAAACATTTGGAGTGTTCTGTCTATGTCTAGTAGGACTGCTTTATAGTTTTCTGTAAGTTCTCTGTCTGTCCTTGCTTTTATTTTGTTTCACATATTTTATAATAGTATGACCTGTATACAGAACTACTCCCAAGATGACAAAGGCTTTGACCAGGTGGGACAAGGACCTCACTAATGTCCCTGTATCACCAACACATAGACCGAGCACGGGTGGTGCCACTTCTGTAAAGTGGCAAGTCCCCTGCAGGATGCAAACAGCCCCAACAGTACAGTTCCCATTTGCTAGGTGTCTTTTCTTAAAGCCTGGCAATTCTACAATGAAGATTGTACATCCAGTGTTCTATTTTAGAACAGTCCTTCTTTCCTTTGTTGTGAAAGCACAGGATATTACTATTCTTTCCCTACTTTTTTTTTTTGCAGAACCAGGGATTGAACTCAGGCCTTTGAGCTTGCAAGGCAAGCGCTTATTCTACTGAGCTATCTCCCCAACCCCTTTCCCTACTTTTTACCCCCATCTCTGCTGCTTAGATTTGGGCCTGAGGGCTGGCTTTCATGTCACAGTTGAGCTTACTTCTGTCTAGTGACTGAGCTGATGAACTGTGTATCTACCTCCCCAGCTAGAGCTATTGTGATGCTGTGAATCCACTTCAAAACCCAATAGTGGCTTACAGAACTATACCTCTGCTTTCTGGGAAATGTTTTGTTATGTGGGTGGCCCACACCTACCCCATGTCTCACACCCTGGGGCCAGGCCAGCAGGGCTAGGACATGCTCCCTGTCATGCAGGTGGCAGAACACATGAGGTAAAGTCCAGAAAGGCACAGCTTCTGCTCAGGTCACCCCTGCCAGCATGAGACACACAGCTCAGGTCAGCGGGGTGGAAATCCTGCTCCACGGGAGGGACAGGAGCATGAAGAGCTGCCACAGGGGAACACGCCTCAGCAGGCTGAGGCGCTCGGGGCACGGGAAGGGGTTTCTCCAAAATGTTAAATTTATTTAAAGGACTTACTCTCTAGTTAAGCCCTATCTTCGAAAGTAATAAAGTCCTTTCTTAGTAAGATAAGTAGAAGGTAGTAAGACTTTTAAAAATGTTGGTGATTGCGGGGGAAATCGCTCAGCGGCACGGTGCCTGCCTGACAAGCGTGAGGTTCTTTTTTTTTGGTACTGGGGATTGAATTCAGGACCTTGCACTTGCCAGGCAAACGCTTATACCACTGAGCTATCTCCTCAGCCCTAGCATGAGGTTCTCAGTTTGACTCCTGGTACCAAAAAAAATGTTGACAACCTTGTGTTAATCTCCAATATTTTTTGGGAGAATATTACTAATTTGAAACAAAAAAAAAGAAAAAAGAAAAAAACGACACTCACTCCAACCCCTTTCAGCTTTCATTATTCCAAATGCTTATGATGTGGAAAGTTCTTGTTTTAGAGAATTGACATTCCATTGTTTATTCCCAGTGATCTAACTACCTTAAAATTGGTCCATTTAGTCTTCATGTCTCCACACAGATGTGGCTTTGTCAATACATGGGCCCTAGAATCTTAATATCATATAAGTCTGTCATATCTTTCACAGGAAAATTTTAACAGACAGCTCATAAAGATTAACTTCAACTTTAAGAAAGTGAGATATACAAAGACCAAAATTCTAAACAGTACCTGCCAGCTCTATTACCAATGTGAAGTGACACACATTTAATAGTCTTACAGGTATCTATATGAGTATAAGTAAATCTTAATGATTTTGACACAAATTCAGCAAACATTTGCACTGCACAAAACAGCAGAGATGCAGAATAGTTAGGAAAGATATACAGCTACTTTTGCTTAATTCAATGAGAAGAAAGATTTGTACTAATAGTGTTGGACAGGATATCCTGTCTGCATCTTGTACTATGGATAACCACTAAGAAGATAACAATGTACAATGTATTTATTATTGAAACTGGCTTATTAATCAGTTTTAAAACTGTCTCATTGCTACTTGTTTCTCAATAAAATAAAAAAAAAAATAACTTGTTGAACCATTTTATGGTTTGGTTTAATGTTCAGCAATTAGGCATGATACATATGTGTTTGTGTACCAATTCACCTAAATGAATGTAATTATTATGTATCTAGTATGTATCATGAACATATACCAACAAAATTAATTTTAAAAGCAATTAAATACACTATTAAAAAAATGTTAACTCAAAAAACAAACAAAAAACCACAACAAAACAGCAGAGGGATTCTTTTTGCTCCTAGAGTTACGGAAGGAGGCAAAGCGAGTGTCAGTGCTCTCAGCCCAACACCTAGCCTTGCTGAGCTCACTGCCCTCCCCTCTTGCTGCACTGCTTCTGCAGCCTGAGGCACCCTCAACCACACTCCTGAGGCCTCAGCCGTTCTGAATGGAAGCGGTGAGCAAGGACACAACACTCACCTGCACCTACAGAAAACCTCTCGAGAGGCCTCAGGCTGTCAAAGCTCTACAGTTCCCACATGTCTCATACTCATACCAAACACTAACTTACACAGGATCTGAGAAGTAACTTCAGAATATGGCTGTGGCCTTTTATTATGCTCCCCATCTTGCCCTACGTTAGAAAATTCAATCCAGTGTATAGTCAGATTTTATACATGTGCACCTCTACAATAAGAGGCACAGAGATTGTCAACAATCAGCAAGAGGAGATTCCATTACCTGGGATGTAAACTCAATTCACTAGTTTTGAAATTCATGTTTGTACCTTACCTGAACTTTTAACTAAAACATACTTCTTTTATAACATTTTGTGAACTTTATATAAAAGATATACTTTCTCTAATCTAAAAAATATAATTCTCATTAAAATAAAATGAAATTTCAAAAACGTGGTTGCGACCTCAGCAACATACCTGCAGGTATGGTCGTCGCTTACGCTTGCAATTTCCTGGCCTTCTTTGGGATCAAATGCCAAACTATTGATGAAATCTGAGTGGCCCTCTAGAACCTGACAGGAAAGAGAAAGTCAGTAAGAGGACAGAAAAATAATCAACAATATTCCCACCTAGTATTTCTCCTCTTCAGTCTCAAAAGCTTTTCCTGTATGCTTCTTTTTGCCTATAAATATTTTTGAAGCAATCTGCTATTTTTAAATTGCGATTTCCACACCCATTTTCTGGAAAGTTTACCTTGGAAAGAAGTTGATCACTCAACACACAACTATCAGCCTCGCTTTGCTTTTCTAGCATGTGCAGCTTGCAAAAGCACACTTCTTGACTCTACCCGTCCTCACATCACCTCCCTTCTCCCTCATGACAGAACTTACACAAGAAGTAAAGCAACCTCGTAAGACATGGAGGCAGCCACCTTGCTGGGTTTTTCACCCGCACCCCCTGCTTCACACACTGACTCCCTCATGCATGAACACGAGCCTCACCTCCTAACATCTTTATTCACACGCGCTCTGCAACTATCAGTGCTAGCAACAGGGACACAAGCCACAGCTGAAACAGAAAGCCCTCTGCTCCTAGAAGAAACAGATGGGCAGCTCGTCTCACAGTAGACGCGACTAGGACAGTAGGCAAGGGGTAGCTGGTCAAGATCTTTGTAGCTAAATCCTAAATGGGCCAGGGAGCTGTGGATCTCTCTTAATGGCTACCTTTCTTCCTTTCAAACACTTCAACTGGATCTCATTCAGATGTTAATAAGGTAGTTTCATATAACCATGTAGAAACGTGTGATGGGAAAAAAACCACAGGTTTGAACATTTCTGTGTAACTTTCACAAACCTACGGACTTGCAATAATTCTCCAGAGTATCTACAAGATAAACTAAATTAACATTAAGTGTGTACTATTATAACAAGCATAGTAACTTTCAAAAGCTAAAAATTTTATGTGCCATTTCTGTGTGTGGTTATTCATGAGTCAGTCTTACCCAGTATGGACCGCACTGCACGGTCACCACACAGAGGCTAGAGCACACTTACTACTACCTTCTAAGTAACTAGAAAGGTTAGCTTGTCTTTGCTTTTAACATACTTTTAGTTTATTAGGAAGTCAAGAAAGTGATCCTGTTCTATAAGCAAACACATTTCAGCCCAACCAGAGAGCTACTGCAGGAACAGAAAACACACAGGCAGGGTTCTTCATGTATGAAGCAGGGTCCTAAGTGTCTTAAATGAGTGCACTCAGTAAAAGGGGAAAGCCTCATGAGGCAGAGGCCAGGACTGTGCTGACCACACGGACAGGAAGAAGACATGAATCGTTAGGGCACGCGACCACGGCCACACTGCTCCTGCCCCGCAGGGCTAGACCAACTTGTGGGGCGTCCTGTGCCTACAAACGCTGAAGCCTGGCTTGCGTTCTGCGCTGACTCTGTTCCCTGGAGGTCAGCACTTCACGCGTGCATTTCTCATTGTACTGTTCTACCTAGCTGCAGATTTCTAGTTCTCTAATTTTCCTAGTATTTTAATAACAAGTTGTATTAGGTTTATAATCTGCAGCTGAGACTAAGAACCTAGCTTTTTTTTTATTTTTAAAATCACTAATTTATTTGCTTATTTATTTGGTACAGGGTCTTGCTATGCAGTTCAGACTTATAATGATCCTCTTGTCTCAGCCTCCCCAGCACTGGGATTATAGGTGTGCAACACCACACCCAGACTCAGTGGCCAGCATGGTGCAGCTGGGGTTCTGGGGTGGCATGGCATGTGGCACCAGGGATCAAACCCAGGTCCTTGGGCTTGCCAGGTAGGCACTTAGACCACCAAGCTATCTCTCCAGCCCAGAACCCAGCTATTAAGAGTACATGACATAGGAAATGACACCCTAAATTACATCTGGAAAGACGATCATGAAGTCATTTAAAGAGGGATAAAGACACCCAGGTGTGGTGGTGCACACCTATAATACTAGCATTCACAAGGCTGAGGCAGGAGGATCACTGTGACTCTGAGACAAGCCTGGGCTACACAGTGAACTCAAAAGCAGCCTGAATTTGCACAGTGAGACCCAGCCTCAAAAAACAAAAATGAGGAAGAAAAAACATGGGATAAATACAATAAAGCAGCAGATAATAATCAGATATTTTAAAATGAACTATGATTTATACCTACCAACATACCTTATATTCATTTTTATCTTGAAGATCTGAAGTAAATAATCTGATTTTCAGATCAGAAGCTGATGTACAAAATCTGGAAGCAAAAAACCCAAAGCAAACTTATTTTTAATCTGTACAAGTAAAAGACCTCCCCTATCACCGGCCTTCCCTCTAGGTTACCAAATCGCTTTACTGTAACTAATAATCATAACTAATAACCTTTGGAAGGGGGTTGTAGATCCACTGGGGGGGGGGGATAACCATTTAAAGAAGCAGGAAGCAAATTAAACATTTTATTCTGAGAACACACAAAACATAAGCACATCCTTGACGTGTCTCCTTGATGAATACAGCAAGCCCAATTCTAAGCCAGGACGCGAGCGCCAGGTGCTGCTGCGCTTTCCCCTGGATCTTTGCTCCTGCAGGGTTATCACCTCCTCACAGCACCGCAGTGAGGCGTGGCTTTCTCTCCAGCCACCAGGAGAGCAAAGCTGGCAGCAACACGAAGACCAGGCTGGCAGGGAAAGCGCAACACAAGGAAGCTCAGGCTGCGGACAGAGCAGCAGGCAAGGCTTCCTGCCAAGCGGAAGCTGACCGCTAGCGACGGCAGGACACTCAGTTAGACCTCAGCCGTCTTGCTCCACTGCGGTCATGAAGAAGATGCTACTGGTTATTCTGGAATACTATGGGCAAAATACAAAGCAAAGCAAAGTGTCTAGAAGTTGGATCACAATTATCTAGAATTCTGTGTAAACAATTAAAAGAGTACTGGATGTATTAGTGAACCTTTCTTTTCCTATTTCTTTTTCTAATTGTTTTTCTAAATTTTATGTAAGCGTGTGTTATTTTTAGAATAAAAATATATAACTTATTTGAAAACAACAAAATTACCCTATGAGCTTATTCTAAAAATACTGTCCTTTGGATAGAACCCAGGGCCTTGTATATGCTAGGCAAGCACTCTACTAGTAAGCTATACCCACAACCCCTTGTCTTTAAAATTAATGGCTGGTTAACATTTTCTGAATTTATTACTTATATTAGCATAGTTCCAGGAAGGATCTGAGGCAGCTTATTAAAAAAACCACAAAGCAAACAAATAAAAAAAAATCTCAAAATGATAAATTGCAGCAAATGCAATAAAAAAAGGTCAGGAAAACAAGCACCAAGCAATGAGGGAACTGTAGGACATACCAAGAGTACTTAGGTCAAAGCAGTGTCACAAAACTTAACTCAAAATCCAGGAAAGCCAGATGCAGGGCGCATACCTGTAATCCTAGCACTCTGGGAGGCTGAGGTAGGAGAGGTTCAAGTCTGAGCACAGATGGGGCAACTTAGAATCTTTCAGAGTAAAAAAGCTAGGCATGGTGGTGCATGCTTATAATCCCAGCACGCGGGAGACTTAGGCAGGAGGATGGCCTTGAGTTCAAAGCCAGCCTGGGCTACATAAGCAAGCTTAAGGCCAGCCTGAAATATAGAGCAAGACCCTGACTCAAAAAACAAGCAAAAAACCCTGCACAACAGTAACAACAAAAAAGGAAAAAACAAAAACAAAAACAAAAACAAAAAAACCCCCAAAAACTAGGAACAAGCTGGGCATGGTGGTGCACGCCTACAATCCCAGCACTCCAGAGGCAGGGGCCGAAGGAGCAGCATGAGTTCACGGGCAGCCCAGGCTATATACACAAGTTCAAGGGCAGCTTGTACTAAAGCATGAGACCCTATCTCAACAAACAAACAAATAAGCAGAGAAAAACAACAACAAAAAACCCAGGAAGACTGTTTCCTTCTCTTTTGAAATTGGCTAAAGAATGCAAAGAGAGTAATTGCTCTTGCTTATTTCCAGGTACTGTGAACACTTCCTTGTAATATAAAGGGAAACAAATGCCCCAGCAGCTGTTGGCAATGACACATGCATGCTGACAAAAGCTGTTACATCGATTATCCAAAATTAATACAACCTGCATAAGCCTCTAATAAAACTTTGTTGTAGACAAGACTTCTTAGAAGGAAACGATCTCAAACAGAATAATGCTCAGTGGCTAAAATCAAAAAGATTGGCAATAATAAATGCTGGAGAGTTGGTAGAGCAATCCAACAGCCCGGGATTACTGGTGGGCACAAGAAACAGTGAAATCACTTCAGAAACTGGCCGCTCCCTCCTCCCTACCTCCTGTTTTTGTAGTGTGTACTGAGAGTCAAACTCAGGGCTAAGCGTGCTTGGCCAGTGCTGCAGCACCAAGGGCAGTGTGGTCCACAGCCTCCAGTCCTCCAGAGCTGGTTGGAGGCACGCCCTAGCGGCCCAGCCCTAGCTACACACCGAGCGTTCTAGCATCCACTCACAGAACTGCAGGGATGGGCTGTGGGGCAGGCACACTGCATAATGGAATGCTGCTCAAAAATAAAAGCAGCCAAGCACAGGTACATAACCCAACACAATTAGATCTTACAAATAATAAGCAAGACCTTCTCACCCCCCCAAAAGCCCCACATTCTATATGATCTCATTTCTATGAAGTTCTACAATTTGCAAAACCAACTTCTGATCAGAGATATCAGATCAATGGCTCTTTGGCATGGAATGGAGTTCAGGGGTCAATGCTGAGGAATATGTGGAAATTTTCCAGGGTGATAAGTGAGGGGTTATAAAAGTATATGCCTTGTCAAAACTCACAGCATTTAACAGCTGAGAATTTCAGTGTTGGGTTGTCCCTTAATTAGAAAATTATCCCAATAGCTGGCTGTTTACTAAATGAAGATTTATCTTTCAGATGTGACATTTTTAAGAAACAAGATTTGTAACAAACCTTAAATGACCTAATATATTTTTGTACTTATGAAGGTCTAAGCAGGGTTCAAGATTTTTCTGAAAAAGTAATCATTATAAATGCTTTCCCAAAACTGAAGCCCAAAGAACTACAGATTTTGTGCTGTTAACACACGAAAATGCAAACTTACCCTAGGTGTGGGGTAGGAAGGGTCAAAAATATTTCAAACAAATCTAGTTCTTTTAGCAGAGCTGTATTTCAGTAATCAGTAAAGACTGAATTTCAGGTAAAGAGTTTTATAGCCTGGATCAAAACCAGTTAAGGTATCTCTGCAGATGCACACTGATGCCATGAAGACGGTGACTCCAGAGTGTCAGATACAGCAAATGTCACACATCTAATCATCTGCACTTGTGGGTATGGAAGAAAAAAAGCATCTATGATCACACCTGGGATCATTCAAACACTTGAAAATACTGCATTTCAAACTTTGAAACTTACTTGCTGAGGGCTGGGGGTATAGCTCAAAAGTACAGTGCCTGCCTGCTTGGCAAGTTCGAGATCCTGAGTTTGATTTCTGATACACACACACATAACTTACTTGATGACTGGTGGCAATGAATCAAGTCTAGTCTCTGGGCTCCAGGCTATGCCATCGACTCTTACTCCATGGTGAAATGTTCGTAGTGTTTTATACTGAATGCCTTCAATATCGGCTTCTTCTTCCTACACATGCACAGTAAATGCTGTTTTAGGGAGTCATGAGGATAATGTATTACTGTGGGTTACAGTATACTGAAGAAGCTATCAAGAAGTCACGTACCTGTATAAGCTTTTGAAGAGCTCAGAAGCAAATCAGAATTATAGTATACTTATGGTATAAGCCAATTTACTTCTAATACTAAACACATTTCATAACAAATTGAGTAAGCATGGGATGTTGTAACTCATCTATGCCCTTGTCTCTGGCCATGTAGACACTAACTGATGATGCTCTCCTACTACGACAACAATGCAAATATCCAGATCCCGAGAAACTGCTGAGCACAAGGGAACACAGCCATCCTGCGGGCACTGGCCTACGCCCAGGTATGGAGGACAAAGCTCAGGTCCTGCACAGGCGAGGAGGCGGCCTTACTAGAGACCTTGATCCATCCGGGGCCCTGAAGGGGGATGTGCATGGTAGGGGGTGGGAAGGTGCCTGCGTAGACCACCTAGACCTGGCATGAAAATGGGGCTTGAGTTCCTATTCACTACACAGTTCAGACAATGACAAAGATCTTATTTTAAAGTGGCTATATGTTGGTAGTGGCCTTAAGCACCTGACAGATACAGAGACAATACACCTCTAGGTGAACTTAGTACAACCCAGGCAGCAGAAGTCTCTAAAGATACAGTTAAGTACCACAAACCAAAACAATGCTTGATTAAATCAAACTTATGAAGACATCAAATTTCAAGAGTTATCAGATATGAAAAGACACAGGTTTAAGGGAATAAAAGAGGCAATTAAAAAGTATCAACAGGCCAGCAAGAGATTACTAAAACAACCAGACAAATTTAAAAAAGAACTATAATCAAATCAGCACAATACTAGCATAAAAGGACACACTAAGAGAAAAAAATAAAAACATTCAGAAATAAACCCATGCATTTATAGACACCTGATTCTGATAAAAGTTCCAAGAACACATATGGAGAAAGAAGTCTTTTCAATAAGTGGTGCTGGAAAAACTGGGCATTCCCATGTGCAAGAATGAAATTGAAACTTGACCTCATGCCACATATAAACATAGTGGTTAAAACAAAAAGAAAAGTGAAAGAGAAATAAGATATTGGACAGCAATAAATCTGGAGCAATGACATCTGAAATGGGAGAGTCCCTATCTCTTGCATGAAGATAGTACCTTTGATACTAATGACACGTGCATGCCCAAATGTCTTTGGTATCATCAAAAAAGAAGCAGCACATAAATCTTCCAAAGAGGAAGAAATGAAAGGAGTTACAGAATCATTAGTTGAAGACATGACAAGAATATACATATTGGCAATGTTTTTAACACTGGAAAACTTAGGATATCCCAATAATACACAGATGAATAAATGGCGACACAGGCCTATTACATCATACAGTGGCCCAAAAGGTAGGAATCTAACAATATATCATTGAGCAATGGTGCAAAGTATAGAACAAAGAACAGTATCATTGGTGTAAAATTTTAAACACAAAGAACAATAGTGTGATTTGGGATCCCTGCACATAATTTTAACACTTATAGACAGAGTCATGAACACAGAATTTCCTCACAGCTATTTCTGAGGGGTGCAAGAGGAAGGCAGTAAAGAAGAATCCCTAAGGTCTTATTTCTTAGACAAAGTGGTGGAAATATGGGGATTCATTGTATTATTTTGCACACCTCCCACATATCTTTTCTCATGTACCATACTTAAGCTACCCTTTGAAATTAATTTCAGATGAATTTACATCTAACAGTAAAAAAGTTCCATATATGAGATGAATCAGAAATACATCTATCGGGGCTGGTGAGATGGCTCAGTGGTCTAAAGCACCTACTTAGAACAAAGCTAAGCAAAGCACAGGGACCGCGGTTCAATCCCCCAGCACCACATGCCAGCCAGCCCCACCCCCTGGTGGGCTGAGCTGGCCACACACACAAAATAATGAATAAATAAGTAATAAAAAAAAATTAAAAAAAAAAAAAGAAATACATCTATCAAGGAAAACAACTGCCAATTTTTACTACTTCCCAATTTGTGTGCATAATAGCTCTGCACCTAATAGAGTGGTACCTTGGTTCATAACCTCAATTTGTTTTACAGTTTGGGGGAAGATGGCCATGGTGGTGTTTATCACCTTATTTGGTGTTAGTGAACACAAGCAAGTCTGCTGAATGCTTATTTGTACGTAGAAGTGTTTGTGAACCCAGGCATCACCCTGGCAGGCTACACCAACGCAGGAGCCATTCAGCCATTGTAGAACAAGCTGAGGAGGCTAAGAATAGCTGACTGGACAGTTAGGGTTATATCTATTTTTCTACACATTAATCGTGCAAAAATGGAGTTTTCACATAAAAAGACACGCTTTTATGCTACTGTAATAACAGTGGCAAAAATTAGCTTCTGCATTACTCAAATCATTTGTGGAATTCTTACTTGGTGATCACAGGGATAACAAAATCCCAGGAACTGTACAGCTTGAGCTTTGTGTACTGCTGAACCTTTTTTTCCTGGCAGTGCAGCCTGCCACTGCGCCAACGAAAAAGGCAGTGTGTGTGCAGCACAGGCAGTGATAAGTGCTGTTTCAGATTCAGGAGGGAGGCTGGGCAGAACTGTACAAAGAGGAATGCAGAGCCTTCGGAAAGCCTGCCTGTGCCAGGCTCCACTCAGCCAGCTGAAGGCAGGCTGCTCTATGGGTTCCACATGGCCCTCCCATCACACCCACTGAAGGCCAAAGGCAGAATTTCAATAGGACAGACCCAGGTTTATCTTTCACCCAAGGCTTTCACCTCTACTAGAACACTTGAGAAAAGGTTGCTCAACTCTTGCTCTCAATCATAGGACTTTTTATGATCCTTATCTGCTAGTCTAGTAGAAAACAGGACAAGGGTCAGACCTAGATTAGAAACACCTCTCCCTACCAAAACAGCATGGGATTGCCTAAGGGTTCTCACATTTACTCAGGCCAACAAACTAAATCCTTTCACTCATATTATTCCTTAGAATAAATATAAATAAACACTAATTTTCTGTAGCTTTATACATGGTATATTCTAAAATGCTAACTTGAATTTTGATGTTAAAATTAGCTCCTTTTTTTTTTCTTTTTGGTCTTTTCAAGACAAGGTTCCACTGCACAGTTCGGGCTAGCCTTGAACTCATTTCTGTAGCCTAGGCTGGCCTTGAATTTACAGTGATTCTCCTGTCTTAGCCTCCTAAGTGCTGGGATTGCAGACATGCACAACCACACCCAGCAAAGAATTACTATCTCCTAAGTAAATAAGCAAATCATGTTTCTAGTAACGTATCACTTTAATTCAGTAATAAAGTTTCTTCAAATTTTTGGTAAATTGTATCAATTACAATTTGAGAAATATGGTTACATGACCGATAGTCTAGTATAAATCGATTAACAAGAGACTGAGGAGAGTCAAATCATCATTGTTCAGTCTCTCACAAGCAGGATGGCTTTTCTGTAACAAAACCTGGCACGTGGAACAGTGGGCTGTGACTATCGCTCTGGCTAAAACACACTGATTATAATGTGCCAGATTCCTTCTAGGACCTTACGTATACTGACCCACCACAACCTCACAGAATCCCAGGGAGCATCATTCTTTCTGTATTTATAGAAGAAAGGCCAAGTACCTGTTCAAGGTTGTGCAGCCATTGAGAGGAAAGGCCTTGCAGAACTAAACTCCCATGCATTCTGTCCCCAGAATCCAAGGGCAATCCTGAACTTCCTGCCTAGCTCACGTGATTCCAGTTCATATGCTCTAGACATGTGCTTTAGGTGTGTAAAAAGAGTGACAGCAAATTGATAGGAAAGTTGAGTATCATTAAAGCAGAAATGTTCCTGAAGATCACGTTAGGGTCTCAGTATTACCTGCTTCCTACGTCAAAGCAGGAAATTTATGATTAATTGGATCTAATTGGTATTGTCCATATATACTGATGTGCAGGTATTCATAGCCTTTAGTTATCAGAATATTCTACTTTTAATCATGAAGCAAAAGAGTATTTTCACCATCTATGTTCTTTTCGCACATATCTCAAGGGTATGTTACTGGGTATGTCCTCCTCTGGGCCTTCACATAATATCCTTTCTTTTTTTTTAACAATCAAACTTAATATTTTCATGGTTAAGTTTTCAAATCAGTGCAATACCTTCACCGTCTTTCACTGCCATTTGTTGACTAACCTGAAATGTACATATGCCAATCACCACATAATTATTGCCACCATATGCAATTAGATTTCCTGAATCTCCACTTTCGAAGGGATTAAATTCTACCACATGCACAAAATCTTCACAATCCACAGTGTAGGCCGGATTCCTTGTGGCGTCTTGCTTCATTCTGATGTCAAATGATCAGTTCTAAGAATAATTCTTCCACTGGTTAACTTCAAGAAAACTGTGGATTACTGCAAATCCAACAGAAACGGGCATTAGTCATTTCACAAATGAATCAAAATAAATTCAGGTATTACAACGTTACCGAAAGTTCAAAATAAAACACCTCAAGTATCTATCAAGGGACAGAAGCTGCAGGAAAAAAATCAATCTGTTAATAATTCAGCATTTGCTCCATGGCTTTCTTCTTTTCCACATTTGAGATACCTGCAGATACAACACCACAAAATTCTGTTTTGATTAACTAAAGGATATAGCCAGCATTTCAAGGAGGCTCATCTCAATACAAAAGCATATTCACAAAAATTAACAACAGTTAATATACACATGTATATATGTATATATACACACACACACACATATATATATTTTGTTTGTTTTCGGCAGAACTGGGGATTGAATTTAGGCCTTGTGCTTATTCTATTGAGGCAAGCGCTTATTCTACTGAGCTATCTCTCCAGCCCCCAAAATTTAATATTTATGAAGTGTACACATTGTTAGGCCATTTACTGTCACACCAACACTTTGCAAAACTCTAAATGCAGGTGCTACTTATGTTATCCATTTTACAAATGAAACTGAGGCCTTAGGGAATTAATTTTCCAGATCATAAACAAGTTAGTATCTGGAAGGCTCTGTTACGTATTGGGCACCAGCCTCCTGCTGCCTTTAAAGAGATCACAATGGGGCATGGTTACACCTCAGCGAGAAAAGCACTACTACATAAACTGGTAGGAAACGTAGGACCTGGCTAGGTGTGGTAGTGCATACCTGTGATCCCAGCACGGGGGGTGGGGTGGGGAGGGCCGAGGCTAGAGGATGCCGGCCTGGACTACATAGTGAGTTCAAGGCCTGCAGTGAGATCCTGTGTCAAAAACAAGCACCCCAAAATACACGATCTGGAGGAATATTAAAATGTTATAATTAAAAGCAATACTCTGGGCCGGGGAGATAGCTCGGCAGTCTAAGCGCCTTCCTGGCAAGCGCAAGAATTGGAGTTCGATACCAGGTACTGCATGCAGTGCCAGCTCCCATGCCAAGCCAGTCACTGAAACCTGGCATGGTGGCGCACGCCCGTGATCCCAGCACTGGGGAGGCTGAGACAGGAGGATCACTACGAGTCCGAGCTGCGTAGTGAGACCCTGTACCAAATAAGTAAATAAAAGATTTTAAAAACAGTAATATTCCCCAAACCAGGTACACAAACCTGACTGTCAGGGCCTGGTGTGCCATCCCATGAGAATGCCAAATTTTATTAATTACTGTTATCGGCTAGGTGTATGCGCTGTCCTGGAAGCAGGTGGGCTTGGTGACAAACGTGCCCAAGTGGAGTCTTACTGAAAATTAGATGAGTCCCAGCTAAGGGGGCCTCTTAAACTAAACGCACCCGGGCTGGGCGGGGAGACGCCCACTTCCGCGGAGCGGCGCGGACGCGCAGGACACCCGACGAGGCCGCTCGGGGGCCAGCCCTCCCGGGTGCTCGGCGGCCCGGGGTCCTCGCACTCACAGGGCCGGGCTCGCCCCCTGAACCTGCCAGCGCAGGAAAGGTGGGTCCCCGAAGCGCGCCCCGACGCCTCTCCCCGAGCCCTCCCGCTCCCGCCTCCCGTGGCCGTAGGTCAACCGGCAGGACTGCGGCCTCCCGCGGACAGGGCACGGCCCGCAGGGCTCCCCGTGCAGTACGAACCCGAGGCGGCGAGAAAGCGACCCACGCGAGGCCCTCCGCGCGGCTACTGGGCGCGCGCCGGATCTACTTCCGGGTTGCAGGGCGCGAGCGGCGATTGGTTCCTGCGTCTTAGCGCGAGATTTGAAAAATCCTCCGCGGTCGCTCGAGCCGCCGTCGGACAGCTGCTGGCCTCGCCTCTGCTCGCTGGGCTCTGCGCCTCCCGGGTGTCCCGCAGCCAGGTGGGTCTCGCTTCCTCCTCTCCAGTCTGTCGCACTTTGAGCGTTGATCCAGGCTGCGGCTTGAAAAGGCGTTTCGGGGCCAGCTGGGTGCTGGGCGTCCGGCCGGGGTGTTACTGCTGCCGTGGCTCCGCGCCCGAGCCGATTTGGGTCTGGTGGCGTGGTACGGGGCGAGGCTGGCAGGCCTCACGGTCGTCTGTAGATGAAGCCCGAGGTCCACAGAGCCTGCTGGAGGTGCCGGGACAGGCAGGACACCGGGACTGACCCGGCCTGGGACTGATCCCGCAGCTTCGCCTCTTCAGTGTGTCCGCTGAGGGACGCTTGGGAGCTGCCCTTGTCACCTGACAGTGACAGCATCGATTGCCATTTTTTACTGAGCATTTACCCGCGCCAGGCGGGTTGTATACTTGTTTGACTAACGTCTCCTTTTTTTTGCTTTAGTTTTATTAGTTCATATTTACAGTACACCGTGATTCCGTTCCTCGTGGGGACTGGGGCCAGGTACATAACACACCTCAGTTCTTTCCTCCCTCATTTCCCTCCCACCTCTTCCAAAAGTCATCACTGTTATAGAAATTAGATAATTTATATAGGTGAAGGAGTGTATGTGCACCCGAGGTTTTGAATACCCAAGGACTTGCAGCTAATAGATTTGAATCCAAATCTGACACCAACGTGTTTTTTCAGGCACCTCACACTGCTTTCCGGGGACAGTTTTCTGTTTGACATTCTTTGTACCAGCGTAGCTTCTGTTTCCAATTTTGGACCCCAAACTGGCTCCTTTTTCCTCTTGGAATTGTGGAACCCGTGACAAGACTGAATGAGGTTGAGCCATGAAGGACAGTTTTATCATGGCCGGAAATAGGAAAAGTAGGAGATAAGTCACAAGTCAACTTCATAACGGTTGGGGGTCAGTATGTTATAGATACAGGAATAAGAAGTGAGAAAGATGAATCTCTAAAGGGGAGGACTTTTCATGCTTTTTCTAGGGGTGGCCTGAGGTTTTCTGGAAAATGAATGATGATCATTTTGTTCCTTGTATGGTTCCTGGCATGGGAGAGGGGGTGTTGCTTAGCTTGTGGGGCAGATGGAGTTTTTTCTTTTCAGATGGAATTATAGTGTAGTTAGAGTGTATCTGATAATCACTCTGATAGCCTAGGTTCACTTAGTAGCAGCCAGCTCAACTGAAGAGGGAGGCTGGCCTCCATGGTCCATGCTCGAGGTAAGAAGAGGTTGGGGTAGGCATTCAGCCATGCCATCTGGGGGGCAGTGCCAGGTTGAAAAGCGTGGAATCCAGTTTTGAAAAGCAAGTGTTTATTACTGTTTCTGCCTTCTATGGCTGCTTTTTATTTAGCTCAACCTGCCATTCAGAGTGCCTGCTTCTTCTGTGTCGCCTGGAGTTCTCCACTGCCTGGCAGGTAAGTACAGGGGATGCATAGTTTCTGGTTTTCTCTGTGATGGTGTCTCTCCCAGGGCAGCCAGCTGTCAAGTGTCTCTCACAACCACTGCAAGAATGGCTGGGAGAACTGGGCCTGGCTGGAGGTGTGCAGACCACCCGCACTGCCTGCTCTTGGGCAGCTAGCTCCTGAGCTCAGAATGGATTTCGCTGTACACAAATAGTTGTGGAAGAAATGAAACAAGAATATTTTTATGGCATATACAAATAATGTAAAATATAAACTTTGGTGTCCGCATGTAAAGTTTTATGGAAGCACAGCTGTCTGTGCTCACTTATATGTTGTTCCCAGCTATATTCATTCTACTGGGTCAAGTTGAGTAGTTATGACACGAATGGTATGGCCCACGTGTCTTTAAAAATTACCCTTTGTCACTTTCCCAAATGCTTGCTGAGCCCTACAGAAGATGCTTGGTTTTCTGTGTCTAGTAGCATACTCTTTGTACAGGTCGCTTTCCTGTGTATGGGTCAAGTAACCCAAGACTCACAATTAAAGAGGGGAGGTTTCATATGGCTCATGTGTCAGGGAATTCAGTCCATGACTGGCTGACCCCAAAGCGGAAATGACCTGGCAGAGGTGATGGCAGAGGAAAGCTGCAAACTGCACGGCAGCAGGACACAGAGGGAAGGAGGAACTGGCCTGGGAGATGAGCCTCCCCAAAGACACAACCCTGGTGACACACTTCTACCAGTTGGGTCCCAGCTGCTAACAGCATTTAGCAGTGAGGCCATTGGTTTATAGGATTAATCCACCAAAGAGGTTAGCACCTCAATAATCAGTCACTTCTAAAGACTCACTTTTTTTTTTTTTTTGCAGAACCTGGGGTTGAACTTAGACCCTTGGGCTTGCCAGGGAAGCGTTTATTCTACTGAGCCATCTCCCTGGCCCCAAGACTCACTTCTGAATAAGAGACTTTTGGAGACCTTTTAGATCTGAACCATAGCATACATTCAGTCTTAACTCAAGACATAGTGGGTGGTAACAGCTCATGTGCTACGGCATGCACTAAGTGCTGCATGCACTCAGATCTGCTTTAGCAGATCTTGTGTCTCTGTCATCCGCTCTTCCCAAACACTGTGACATAGACCGTGACTATTTTTATTTTCAGTATAAGAAAGCTGAGAAAGCAGCAAATGATAAAGCTTGGCCAAGATTTCATAGCTGGGATGGTGGAGCGAGGGTTTAAAATGATTAATTCTGGATGAGCTTTCATTAGTAGTGATCTAAACTCTTAATACCTTCAACTAATACCAGTAGATAATCTCCTGCTACAAATGGGTTTTAGGCAAACTAATCTCATCACGGAAGCTGATAATTTGCTTCTTTACTTCTTTTTTATTTCCTTTTTGAGAAATGAAGATAATATAGTAAAGAGAAATATAATGCTTAGCTGTATACAAGAATTACTATTTATGGTTTTCTCAGTGTACCTTTAAGTGGATATATTAGTGTAAATGACATATGTTCTTTTTCTTGAATAAACCCAAAATGCCTAGTGCACAGCTAGGATTCTGTTCAGGCTACATCAAAACAAAAGGATAACAAAAGGGGTGATTGTATATGGAACTGAGGCCTGGACATGTGACTATGTTGGAGACTCTAATAAAGAAAAAAGTGGAATGTAATGCTGCACACCAATAATTCCAGTGCTCAGGAGGCTGAGACAGGAGGATTGTTGTGAGTTTCAGACCAGTCTGAACTGCGTAGCAAGATCTTGTCTCAAACAGACCAAAAAAAAAAAAAAAAAAGAAAAGAAAAGAAAAGAAAAACTTGTATCAGGTTTGTTTATAAAATCAGAGAAAGGAATGGCTACCTTGTAGGGGTTTGTTATATAAAATGTTGACATTGGTGGGTGTGGTAGTGTGGGTCTGTAATCCCAGCACTCAGGAGATTGGGGCAGGAGGATCTTTATGAGTTTAAGGCTAACCTGGGCTACACTGCTAGAACCTGACTTTAAAAAAAAAAATTTATATATATATATAGACACTACATTAAATTATTTTGAAAATGCTTTTGTCTAAATCAGAAGTTATGAAATAGAGTGGTCTTCGAGTCCATTTTATGGGCTAAGAAATCTTGGATTAACCTCTGGCCATGTGTTAGTGGAATGACAGAGGATGTTACTTTATTCAGGTGCAAGATGGGGATAGTGATAGACTTGCCTCAATAGTATGGTTATTTTGTTAATACTTTTTTGAGGCAGAGTCTCACTACGTAGTTTAGGCTGCTCTTGAACTCACTGGTAGCCCAGGCTAGCCTTAAACTTGGAGCAATCCTGATGCCTCAGCCTTCTGAGTGCTGGGATTGCAGGTGTGTACATCACGTCCAGCTATTTTGCTTACTCTTTGCTGTGTAATGCACCACCTGAAAGCCTAGTAACTATTAAATAATAGGCAGTTTATTGCTTCCGATTCTGTAGGCACTGAGGCCCGGGCTTGGCTTGCTGATCCCACTGCTCCTGCCTGGGCTCAATGCATTGCTGACATTCACCTGGCAGGGTGAGTGGGGCAGGACAGCAAGGTGGCCTTCGTACAGGTCTGGGTTGCTGTCAGTTGCCATCTGAGTGCCCCCATTGTCCTTCAAGATCCTGCCCAGCAGTTTTGGAGCAGCAAGTGTGAGAGCCCATGCTTTAAGGCCTGGAGTTTGGAGGTTCCTAAGTCACCCCCAGATTATAGGATTTGCTAGAAGGATTCAGAGGTGTATTATAGTGGAAGAACCCAGAGCAGCATAAGCAGATGGCAAAGTCCACAAGAGGCCTCCTCGGTCACGCTTCTCAAGGTCATGTCCTGGTGATGTCATGCAGGGAAATCTCCCAGCAACAGGGTGTCATAATCCACATGAAGTGTTGTCTCCCAGGGAAGCATCTGAGACTTAATGCCAGCATTTTTATCCGAGGATGAACACACAACACGCAAGTCTGGTCTGTCTGGCATGTACCAGCATCCCAAACTCAAAAGGAAATCAGGTCAAGAACGGTCTAGGGTTTGTATAAACAGTTCCACCCTGGGAGCTATTCTTCTTAGAAACCTTCTGAATTTTCAATTCAGGATGCTTGCTTGAAAGGATGGTTTTTAGATCTTCTGCACAAATCTCCTGAAGCTTAGTTCAGAATTCTCTGCGTGTCATTCTTGCATCTGTTGGTCAAATCGAGTCACAAGACTGTCCTAGATTCAAAGGGTTGGAAAAGTGGACTGCTTTTGGCACAATATAGAGATGGAAAGAAACAGGCTTTTTTTTTTTTTTTTTTTTTAGCACTCTACTACAGATTTTATCATCTATCTCAAAACAAATGTGTTTTCAATCCAGCTTTAATCATTTGTGTATGTTTTATAATTACAAGCCTGCAGAATTTACATGTCTGTTTTGTGTGAAGTTTCATCATTGGAGGTTGGATTTTGTTATTTTAAAAGATTTGGCTTAAGAAAACTAAAGGAGAGGAAAATATGATTGGGCAGAAATTGTATTTTTCTGTTTTCCTAGATGTAATCAAAAGCAAGCTTGGTAAACATGACGTGACCTCTTGTTCACCATGTCTTTTTGCTGCTGGGGTCTGCACATGGCACGCGTTCCCGCGTGTCAGCTGCGCACTCACGCTGTGCTCTGTCCCACTCGCAGAGCATGGCTATACTCCACCAGAAGCCCGTGTTGGCCCTGACTAGAGTGTTCAGGAGGAACTGGCGCGCTCTGTGCAGCTCGGAAAGGACGACTCTCTGTGGAGCCGACTCCATGCTCCTGGCGCTGCAGCTGGCCATGGCAGAGAACAATCAGTTGGTGAGTAAACTGTGTTTAGGTTCACTTTTTTATTTTAGATCAAATTTTGCTTGCTGCCTTTTTGAATAAGCGTGAATATGTTGCTTTCAATATTGGCCTTTGTATAACACACTGTTTTCCGAAGTGTGTTTGTGTATCTGTGACCCATTATTGCAATTCCATTTGAAAGGGTTTGTTTCCAAACCAAGGCCTCGTGTGTCCAGCTGAACACAGTGCGCGCACATTTGGTGTCTCATGGGAAGTCTTAAGATAAACACACAACTACTCTGATGTCTATGGCTATTTTGCCTCTTTAGCAAGTATTCTTTCATTCTCTAAAGGAAGCCATAGAAGACACAGATAATTTTTATTTAAATGTAATCATAAAGTACCAGTCTAGCCTCATTATTCCCATGTCAGGCTGTGTATCAGTTCATGTGGGAAGGTTTCATCCAAACACCAGCTTCTGTGCACCAGTCCTACAAATTCTGGTTCTCCTCATCTGTACCGCCACACTAGAAAATGTCTTTTAGAAATCTCACCGTGTAGGGCTGGGATACAGTGTTTACCCTGCGTGTGTGAGTTTCCAGCGCTGTAAAACAACAAGCAAAACAAACAAACGCCCCAGTGTTTCTTTCATGGGTGGCTTGGGGCAAGCTAGCTAAGGGGTGAGAGGGTCTCATGAGAGAGAAAGATGAATGTAGGTCTGAGTGGCAGGAGAAGACTTCCTGATTTAAATGATCTAGAGGGATTAAAGGAGGGATTAAGGAAAGGGAAAGTCGGGTCAGAAGGGTCCAGAGCAGTTAGAACCCTGGCCTGAAGTTGATGAAGACACTGGCTTACCTGGTGAGCAGGACTTTCAAGGCATAGGATTAGTTTTATTGAGTCTGTTGGATCAAAGATATTCTAATAAATTATTTTATGTTCATAGTTAACAGATTAGTACAATTTCTGAAAGAAAATCAGACATAGATTTGATCTTTTCACATTTTGGCAACATAGCCATTGAGAAAAAATACCTATTGTGCATTATAAGCACCATTTTGAAGAAGCAGGAGTACTTAACACCTAAAAACTAAGAAGCATATAATCTGGAGACATGAGATAATCTTTCTTAGACATGGAGAGTTGAGAGTTCTGCATATTTGAAACAAGTAAGATAAAATTTTGGACATAGAAAAATGTGGCACATTTTTGGATCTAATTTTATATAGCAGACACTAAAATATTTATGGAGTTTTTGCTGTGTGTTAGACATCAGTCTACACAGCAAGTGGAGGCAGTAATGTGCTCAGGACATTGACCTCCTAGCGGGGAGAGACAGACATGCCCTAGTGCATCAGGTAGGTGGCACTTAGGTCTTCATAGATTCTTGAAGAAAGTGAAAAGATGCAGCCAAGGAGCATAGGAGTTTGAAGGGGAGGGCCTTGCAGCTTACGGTAGAGTCAGGAAAGGCATCACCTAGCAAGTACCATTCAAGCAAAGATTTGAAAAACAGGGAGGAAGTAGCTCTGGGGATTTTGGAAAGAAGAAGTATGACTAGGCCGAGAGGCCAGCAGAAGCAAGGTCCCTGAGATTGCAATGTGCCCGGCGTGTTCAGGGAGCAGCAGAGAGGCTGATAGAGTCATCTCTGTGTGTCAGCTTCCTCCTCGTCAGCTCTGCCCCTCACCCCCGTTTTAATTATGCAAGGCATTCATGTGAGCATGGGGGTAATGTGGTGAGCAGAACTGCTCTTGTCTCTGCCTTAAGGGAAGAGCTGATAGCAGATAGCGGAGAAGCCCACGGATAGGAGGAAGGATGGAGGGACACGATGCACAGGTCCCAAGAAGGGGCGGGTGATCGCATGCCTGTTCTGTATAGTCCTTGGTTTTAATCAGAGCTGTTGTTAGAAATCAATTTGGCATAGTATCTTGACAAAACTAATAAGTACATTTTTGACTTATTACTTTGAAAAAGTGTTTCCCACCGCAGTTGCAAGAATAAAAACACTGATTCCTGGGCACCTTTCGGTGGGATTCACCAGTTATTAATATCCTGCCACATTTGCATGTCAGTATCCTTTTTGTATTTATGTATATGTATGCCTAAATGCATATAAGTATGTGTTCTGCACAGATGCATGTGCATGCACACATGTTCTGTATGGCTGATTTGATAGCAGCAGACAGATTGAGCCTTTAAATCCCTTCACGCTTCAGCTTGTGTCTCTCACATTCAGTCCAACTGTTATGAAACCATAGTATTGCTGTCAAGTTCAGGAAATGTTAACAGTGGTGATAGTTCATGTTTTGTTTTTTTTTTTTTTTGCGGAACCAGGATTGAACTCAGGCCCTTGCACTTGCCACGGAAGCACTTATTCCACTGAGCCATCTCTCCGAATAGTTCATGTTTAACATAGGTCTGTAGTCAGATCTCACTCACTGTCCGGGTCCACAATCATGAGCTACTGTTAGTGGGCTTCTCCGTAGTCACATATGGGCAGTCTTTTTGTCTCTCATGCTGCTGTGGCTTGTATCTAGGTGTACTTCCAAAGCCTCATGCAGTCCTAGATGGGCTTTTCCATGCTGGCTGGCTCGAGCTTGTATGATGCTGGGATTATGGGTGTGTGGTGCTCAGTTAGTCCACTTACTGGGCCTGGGAGTGGAAAATGAAGCCCCACCCTGGGTGGCGGCAGCACCAAGCAGTAGGCTCTTCAGCCTGCATGGAACATAAAAGGACCTGAGGAAGGTAGGCTTGTTACTCAGCATGGTGCTTGGGGCTTGCTGCCTTCTGTTGGCCTGCGATGCCTCTGTGGTGCCGCCCTGCCTTGGACTGAAAGCTCCACAAACTGTGAGCCGCAGTAAGCCCTTCCTCCTTTAACTTTGGGTGTCCAGTATTTAGTCTCAGCAATGAGAAAAGTGGCTAAGGCAGTGACCTACATTTCCAAGAGTACAAATCACTGGTTTTATAGGGTGTCCCCTCAAGATGGATTATTCTGTTGTTACTTTGTGCATCCTATTAAGCATTTTTGGCAGAAACAACTTACAAAGGGTGTTTTCCTTTGGTCAGTTGCTTTGGAAGGCACATGGTGTCATTTTCCATTATCGATGACATTTGGCTCTTACTTGATTCAAGCCAGTGAAGTGATTTAAGTCTGCCTGATGTCTTCAGTAGAATGAAGTTGATTGGTTATTAATGAGAAAGTCCTAATTAGAAATAATGCTCTATATCACTTGAATGGCCTGGAGAATAGTTTGTCATAGAAACAAAATGAAGAAAGGAAAACTAGTTTCTTAGTTTGTGAGAGAGGACAATCAAGGGGATTGGGTAGAGAGATTAAATTTGAAACTGATAGAATTCGTGTAGGAATATTTGTGTCCTTTATTAGACTGCATTATTCCTGGATAATGTTCTAAGGACCAGCAGTCTTTATAAGCAGTGCTGTATCTTAGGTCTTTCTTCTCTGTTCTCACACTCACCATTAATTTCCTAAATCAGGAGTAACAAAGCTCAATTGTAAGATGGGTGCACTTAGCCATGGGAATGTAGGGAAAATTCTGAATTACTTAAAATGTAAACTTAAAGAAAAAAATCTGTCTCTAAACGAAGACTAAAACTAAAGCAAAGTGATGAAAAGTAGCTGAGAGGAGAAACGTTATTTGTTTTTAAATTCAGAGTCATGAAATGGCTCGTTCTATGTATCATCAATTATTTGGGTTACAAGAGTTAATTTTTATATTATATGTCAGCTTTTTCAAGTTGGGAATCTTGTCTACTGAAGAAACAATGATATGAGTGATTAGTTTCTCAATTTTAAAGCCGTAATTTGGATGCAGTAGAACATGCCTGTGATGAGCGATTACTAGAAACAACGCTGACACTATGCTGCTGATTTTCCAGAGTATTTGGATACACTAAGTTGTTTTTTAAAAATTACTTTGTGATCTGATGTTTGAGAAGATGCAGGTTTAGAGGAAGATGGCTTAGGTAAGACATTTGTAGGACTTTTGAGACAGATATTTGAGTACTTTAAAGCTGAAAGGCATTGACTCCTTTTTCTTTAAAAAATGTTAAAAGTATTGACAAGGTAAATGCACATGCAGTGTCAGAAGTCGTCTGTGAAGCTTGGCGTGAAAACCAGCAATTTCATGAACTCCTCCAGCCCCTCATTTCTCAACACTTGGAGGTGGACGCTGTCAGTGCTGAGCTGCCTCTTTTTGGTGTTTTCTCTCTTCCATGCACACGCTCACTACATGGTTAACTGGTCATGACTTTGTGATACACGGATTCTGCGTAGTGTGATCAGGAGGCTGAACCCTGAACGCGCCTCCTCTTACTCCCCTGCTCCTGTGCCTGCCGCAGTCTTCCTGCTTTCTGAGATCTCGCTCCCATCTGCTCGGGTACTCAGGTTGTGGTTCTGAGAAGCGCAGTTTTCATTGGATATGATCCATTACTGCTTAAATTCATTTCCTGACTCTCTTACAGTTAATAACTATTTTGTTTGCTTAGTAATTTGCATTTTAAGGTTCTTTTTATGTTTTTCAAGGCTTGATAGCTAATTTCTTTTTCTGGTTGAATGAGATTCTATTGTCAAGATGTGCCATTTTCCCCCACTCACCTGTTCTTTTTTTCTGGCTAGTGTTCAACAAAGTTTTCACTGTTTTAATAGTTTTGAAGTTTCATAGTTACTGTTTTGTTATGGAGAGCGCTTTTTTTTATTCTTCCCTTTCAAAATACTCTGTTCTTGCTTACAGCATTTTGGTGAGATTTCTTCACCTTGCACAATTGATTGTGTATTTCTTGTTGTGGTCAGGTTGTTTTTGGCGGGGGTGGGTTTCCTTTCTGCTCGTACAGGCCTTCCTCGCGATGACTAGGTGTCCACTGTGTTTAGACAGAGCTGCAGTGGCCCCTGAGCACGAGGGCCGGGCCTGAAGTGCCTGGCCGTGAGGGTGGGGACTTCCAGCCTGATCCGGCAGGCCCGCCTGGCTGGGAAGTCTCTGACGCTGACATTTTCATGATGCTTCTTTGGCAGACCATTTTCC